ATATATATATAAAATCAAGAGTTAACAGGTAATTGATGGTTTTGATAGTTCTGAAATGGAATCAGGCACCTAAACTATAAAACTGATTTTAGATTTCCTGTAGAAGTCCAGTAAACAACTATTGGAACAAGAAGCTGGAATGGATAAAACTTTTGTACCAATCCAGTACAGAATTTACATTGGGGGGGGAGGGGGAGAGGAGGGAATGATTTTTTTAGTTCATTGGATATATTCCTCTGGTGCACATTGGCATTAAAGATCCTAAAAAGTTTTCTGCAGAACAGATATGCTATTTTGTTTTGCATATTTGAATCAAATGGTGCATTACGTATTTTAAATCTCCGTAACTCCATTGTCTTTCTCAGTGTGAAATACAGATATGTCTATAGAGCACACTGTACAATGAATTCTTTGTGCAGTATATCATATGAAAGGTGGACATATTGTGCATTGTCCCTGGTTCTTCTCTTTTTTTCACAAATCATAAGATCACTATCAAATGATCCCTACTTCCTCATGCAGTAACACATCCAGAGGCAGAAATATAAAATTTTGCTTCCTTCGGAGGAGAGCTTGCTCAAGACTGTAATTTCTGTTTTATTTACACTGACTCAAGCAGGTTATATTGCAAGCAAACTCCCGTGTTAGTCAGCAAAATCACTGAAACTACATTTAATTCCTACAAAAACTGAAGGTCCTCCAAATCTCCTATTCTAGCTAGAATTATCAGTAGAATCTCTTTTTTTGCCTCTGACTTTAAAAAAAAAGATTGCTTTTCATTTCTTCTTTACTAGTAGTAGAAGGGTTGGAAAGAGATTCTCAATTATTAAGAAACATTTGTCATTCTAAATGACAAACATTTTCATAAGTCAGCTAAACTCACAATATCTTCAAATCACACACGATTTAGCTGCATTCTTGATTCACAACCAAGTCCAGGCATATTAGGCTAAGAGAAGAGAGAAAATACGACAAATTCAAGAAGATTCATATTAGAAATCATGGGAAGCTTTGATTGATTCAGCTATTGGAAGCACTGCTAAAGCTTCAGGTTATCAAATGTATTTCAGCTTTTAACACAATAGAGAGATTTGAAAGTTATTAGAGGGAAAAGTAAGATAAAAATATATATTTGAATGCAGGGATATTTCTGTTCTGTTTTCTATTTATGCAGGATTTCTTTAAACCTCATTTTTTATTTTTACAGTTACAAGTCTCTAACAAATTAACTCAACAGAATCTCAAGCCTTAACACTTTCATGTGTTGACTTTGTATATTAACATGTACTATACAGTAATATAATTGGTTTGCATTTTGCTTATTATGGACACATTACATTATGGTATAGCACTATGTACAAGATAGTTCCCTATGCTTCCTTTAAAAAAGAAACCCTTCTGGTTTAGAATTGTGTGTAAAAAGAGCCACTGTTTTGTTTGGCATGGAAATTTACATTCTGAATCCATACTGACCATATGATTCCTGAATGCAAGCAGTTATCAAATTCTTCCTAGCTAGATTTCTGAAACAAAGCTCATCACAAGCTTTCAGCCTAAGGCAAGCAAGCGCAACTCTCCAGTAGTACTAGATATGCTAACACCATAGCTGCCTTTTGGTAAAGTAAGAGTTCCTTCAAGTCAAATTTGACCCTGACAAATAGTCTTCTTGGCAACAGTTCAGAAATACTTTGCCATTGCATTTATTCTTGATTTTCCCCCCCAACTTCCTAGTCTAGTAGAAAACCTAGGATTGCTTGATATTCATTTGTTCAAACAACAATCCGGTTGGTCTCTTAGCAGCTCTCTTAGTTTCGGTTTTAGTACAGTTTTTAATAATATTTTAATCTGTGTCATTTTAATGTTTTAATGTTTTAATTATGTTTTACTTTTTTATAAGCCGCCCAGAGTCCCCTCGTAGGGGAGATGGGCAGGATAAAAAAACTAAAATAAAATAAATAAATCTGGTCCAACCCTGCTTAAGCTTTTCAAGACTGGTCCAGGTTGACTAATTGCTGTAGTCTTCTGTGATGTGTTTTGGTGCTTAGATCAAATCGGGTACCTTCAGTAAATGCAGTTTTTTTCCACAATGGACGGTCTATGTATAAGAGCACACAAGCGCTGGGTATCATAATCAATGCTGAGATTTCGTTCTGAAATGTTCAGTACTGTGTGTGCCAAACAAACCCCAGATGCAGCCTCCAGAAGTCCACCTGGGAACATTGTGGCATATTACTTCTAGGTACAATTCAAGAAACCAGTGATCTCCTTTCAAAGCCTATATGGACTGAGTCCTGGCTACCTTTGAAAGAGTTTACGCCAAACAAGATCTGCTTGCCCAAGGCATGCGTGTGGAGTTGTTGATAGCTTCACTCTTCAGGAGTTGTGAGGAGAGGGAACTTAAAAAGGTAAAGGTTCCCCTCACCCATATGTGCTAGTCGTTCCCAACTCCAGTGGGCAGTGCTCATCTCCGTTTCAAAGCTGAAGTGCTAGCACTGTCCAACGATTTCTCCGTGGTCATATGGCCGGCATAACTAAATGCCGAAGGTGCACAGAGCACTGTTACCTTCCACCAAAGGTGGTTCTTATTTTTCTACTTGCATTTTTACATGCTTTTGAACTGCTAGGTTGGCAGAAGCTGGGAAAAGTAACGGGCGCTCACTCTCTTATGCGGTGCTAGGGTTTCGAACCGCCAAACTTGCAATGTTTCTAATTGACAAGCTCAGCATCTTAGCCACTGAGCCACTGTGTCCCTGATACCTTGGAAATCGCTTACGCCAAACAAGATCTGCTTGCCGAAGGTCTGCCTGTGGAGTTGCTGACAGTTTCTCTCTTTAGGAGTTGTGAGGAGAGGGAACTTAGAGACGAGCATTCTTGGTGGAAGGGCTCCTCCTATTGAATGCCCTTCCATCAGATAGAAGAACCATGTTCTCACTCTCTCACATTCAGGAAGCTTTAAAAACCATGACTTTTGGAGACTAAACTGAGGGTGGTCAAAGATACTAGAGTATGATGACTTTTTGATTTTGATTCTATATGGCAATATTGTTTTATGATTAGAGAATTATGTTTGCTGGACATTTTGATAATTTTTTTTTATCTCTGTGTTGTTTGTGTGTTCTTGCCTGTAAGCCCCACAGTCAAATGATTGAAGTGACCTCAAAATTCACCAAAATCCTGTTCTGACTTCCTTGTGACCAGATGAAGCTACAAAGCATTTCTCACAGCCCCTTTATTTTCCTCCTGGAATTTTGCCCACTTATTTATTTTATCCTAAAAATCAAATCAATCAATAAAAAAAATCTAACTACCTTAAACCAGCTGCACTCCATTAGAAACAGGACATACTGTATATCAAAATTAAAGGAACTAGGAATACTAAGCTAAGAAATTATAAAGTTGTAAATAGTGCAGTGGTGGTTGCAGGTGGTACGCCCTGGTACAGGCATACCGGAGCCTCCCTGGAGCAATGCTCCGGAGGGCTCAACCACCTGCCCTATCCTTTAAGCCTTTGATGCTTCTGTGCATGGTGCATACAGCGCCTGCACGATGCTCCGCCGAGCAGCTGGAGCATCGCGGAGGCTTGCGGAAGCATCGCAGGCAAGCACGATGCATGCGCGCATCGCACGCATCCATGTGGGTGACTCTGGGGCTGTTCCAACTGTACCGGTTGGAACAGAATCCAGAACCCACCACTGAAATAGTGATGGTGCTAATGCTATTAATCTCCCAAGGCTTTATTGAAAGGAGATTCCTTGGGAGATTAATGTGTTTTTCATGTGCATCTAGAAAGCCATGAGAATAGGGGCCCATCCATGCTGCAAGGAGCAAGCTCTTTCAGAAATGGGGAGTTGCTTCAGGAAACTGCATTATCCTTGTTAGTGTAGCTTCTTAGTAGGTATTCCTTAAGTAGGACAGAATTGAAAATAACAACATTTATCCCTTCAACTCCTAGGAAGTGGCAGAAAATACAGCTCATGCTATCTAACTCTAATACACAGGAATTGCTATAATCCTTTATTTCTAATTACAGTAGCCACTCTGCCCGGGCAAGTTGAGAAACAAGTGATATTTACCCTATACAGTATAAACTTTTAAGATTAAATGTATATAAGAGAAAATAAAAAAGAAATACATTATTTACACAAACAGGGGGAAAAAATAAACTCTTCATAGTAATTATTAAATATAAATAAAAACTTGCCCATAGTTGCCCTATGGTAAGATGAGCGGCCAATAAATTTTAACAGTAAATAATAAATGGAATTTAAAAAGAAAGTACAACTGAACTTTGCTCACAAGGAGGAGGAAAGGTCTCTAATATACAATAGATGCAGTGTCAAAAATTCTCCTCTTCAGTTGGAAGCCCTTTCAGTCAGCAGCAGGTTAATATTCACTTATGGTGGCTTTCTTAAATCCAGTAGATAAAAATTTGATTTTCCAATTATGAGAGCATGCATAGCTGGTAAATAAGTAACATCTTTTCAGCATAGATGAGAAAAAGTACCCCCCCCACACACACACTCTCTTGCTGAAGAAGTGTCCATGGTCTGTTGTGGCTTCGGTTCTTTTTCTGAACATGTTTTAGGTTCAGTTTCCGAACTCTAAAGGCAATGTGGTAATATTAATAAAGGCCTCGCAAATAGAGTGAGGGAGAAGAGGAGTAAAGAGAACTTTCTGCTTCCAGGGAGCTCCACTTTTTATTCCATCAAGGCCTCATTGATTTACATTAAAAAAAAAAGATCTTACATGTACATTGGGGGAGGGGGAAACCATCAAATCTCAAAACAAAGCCTTATTCCACAGTCAGCATTTCCACATGCAGTAGTAAACTCCATAGAAGAGACTTAGTGTTTCAAAACGGGCTTTAGAACATTTCCAAAAACTTAAATCCTTTTTTGTTGTCCAGAAACAAATACTTGAGCTGAGTACAACAATTCCCCAAAATGCAGACATCTCAAAGAGACGACTGACCCCACCCACCCATCTCCAAGTACTCCTACCTTTTTGTTGGCGTGGGGGCTCCGGAGGACACATGGGTAACCATGGCATCATTCATGTTAACGAGAGGCCGAGAAGGGCTGAAACAGAAAAGGTTTGTTGGATGTTAAGCTCCAGAAAGACAGAATAAGGGGGAAATGCTTACTGTTGGTTACTTAATGCTATCTCTCTTTAACCCCTGAAGCAAGAACTCCTGATCCAGGAACCCTGCCTGGCTGTTGCCATGCTTTTTCATCAATTTCATCACAACCATTTCCAGACAAAGAAAGAAATGTCACAGGCATTATAGAACTTGCTATAAGTGAGGTAGAACCAGGGATGGGTTCCAGCCATCATTACTACCAGTTTGGCGCCCCAAAAATGTTGTGCTCCACGTACATGCACGTTTGCACTTAAAACAATCTGCACATGCATACAACATTAAAAAAAGAATTAAAATTACATTTTTTCAATGAAGATTGTTCTGAGCATGTGCAGAACAGAAAATCAAGATGGCACCGCCGAAGATAGAACCAGTACAGTCACGGGTCTGCCAGAATTACTACCTATTCGGCCGAACCAGACCGAATAGGTAGGAACCCACTTCTGCATAGAACTCTTGGCGGAGAGTGAAATATAAATAATTTAAAATATACAAAACACCCACGTTTGCACCTCAGGAACAGGCAAACTAGAAAATCTACCAGAGAAGTCTCTCTCCTTATGGGATTTTACAGGCCCTCGTAGGATATTATAAGACCATCGACCATGGTATCCTTCTGCGATGGTTGCGAGAGGTGGGAGTGGGAGGCACCGTCCTTCAGTGGTTCTCCTCCTATCTCTCGGACAAGTCGCAGTCGGTGTTGGTCGGAGGGTTGACTGGGTGGGTGTGGCCAACTCAACATCACTCACGTCAATGGTCGCTTCACCTTAGCTGT